ACACTATTAATTTTAAAGTTTGCTTTTTGAGATTTTATTTTCTTTTCTCTTTTAATTTTTTCATCTGTACAAATGTTTGACGACTGGCTTACTAATCACATTCAAACACCTGAAGAAATATGGGAGTTCTATGAGGACAAAGTTCTTGGACTAAGTAGATCACTTGTTGAACTACTTAATCAAATAATTGACTATCTGAATCACCAAAGAAACAGTTTCAATGGTAATCTGTTGAACAATTTAAGGATTTGTCGTACATACTTTGGTCAAGGTCAACTTAGAAGGTAGGGTTTGTTAACAACCCTCCTCGAAATCCAATACATGACCCCATAGATGGTATAGTAGCTGATGTTCAACACTTCAGAAAGATAGTATATGAAGCGACGGAATGATTTCATTTAGAAGTTTATCCCCCGACTTGTCTCCTCTTTTCTCAATCCGCCATGATTTTAACTCACGATGTGGGTACAGTCATACTTTGTCTTATGTTAAGAGAATTGTATTTTATAACTATTCCCGGCCACTCTTTTTCAATAAACTGAGGATGACACTCTTTATTTATAAAGTTTATGAAATACAGAAGAGGAATACATTTATTTTCAATAAATATATTTGTTTATATAATACCACTCCTCTCGCAGACATGGGTTTTTGGATGGCTAGAATTCCGTTTGTTCCTCATTTTCAATATTGGGATGGCTGTCAGCCGCCACTGCAACAAGTTCTATATTATCCTTATCATGGAGAAAACCCTATCATATAAATTTCAGACTATTTTTCTTCAGACATAAGAGGTGATAAAATATTTGAGGACCGTTTGTGAACATGCCAGGGATATCATTCAAAATGCTTGGTCTGGAAAAATTCTCAATGAGCTCTATCAAGTTTTCCCTGACGCCTTGCCTAAGATACATTTCCTCATGTGTATTAAGTTCGGTGACTATAACGATTGCCAAAAGTATTTGTCTGCTAAAAACATTGTTAAGCTAATGAGGCACGGTCCTTTTGGCTACAAGGGACTCAAGTTTTGGGTCGGTTGTGCAACTGACGAGGTATGTTTATTTATCACTTCTCTAGTTATACTTTAACTCAAATTTTTTAAGTTATCTCAAGAGTAGTTGACAAGATCAACTAAATAAAGAATTGGATGTCGTCTTACAACTAAAACAATTTAGTATTATGAGAACATAATTTACATTTCTTGGGTTTTGGTAAATAGTATAGTCCATGTTAACCTGTTATGATTTTATTTGGTTTGCCTGTTTCTATAATAAACCCAAGGCTATTTTATTTTTTCTTAATTATTTTAGACCATTCATACTTTGCGTAAGGGCTTTCAATAAGACGAAACATTCCCAGTTCTATTTTGAAAGACAAGGGATGATTGCATTTTTTAAATTCATTATTGAGCATATTGAATCCGTGTTGAGACTATGTGGCATTTTGGTTTTCATCATCAATCATTTTAAAAGTTATTTTCTTCATATACATATTTATTATAATAGTATATATTTTCTTATTAAGTTTTTGTTTTAGTAGTCTAGGCTTTTTGGATCTTGCCTTGTGACATTCCTGTGCCTTTTAGGGTGTGTATTGAGTTTTGTATATATTTTCTTTTTGGTAAAAAAATCTCACTTGCTAAAAAAGATCATCTCCTTTCTCCCAATCTAAATAAATAAATGAATAAAATGATCCTTTTTAAGCAAGTGAAATTTTATTACCAAAAAGAAAATATATACAAAACTCAATACACACCCTAAAAGGCGCAGGAATGTCACAAGGCAAGACCCAAAAAGCCTAGATCACTAAAACAAAAACTTAATAAGAAAATATATACTACTATAATAAATATGTATATGAAGAAAATAACTTTTAAAATGATTGATGATGAAAACCAAAATGCCACATAGTCTCAATACAGATTCAATAATGAATTTAAAAAATGCAATCATCCCTTGTATTTCAAAATAGAACTGGGAATGTTTTGTCTCATTGAAAGCCCTTACGCAAAGTATGAATGGTCTAAAATAATTAAAATAAAATAAAATAGCCTCGAGTTTATTATAGAAACAGGCAAATCAAATAAAATCATAACAAATTAGCACGGACTATACTATTTATCAAAACCCAAGAAATGTAAATTATGTTTTCATGATACTAAATTTTTTTAGCTGTAAAACAACATACAATTATTTATTTAGTTGATCTTGTCAACTACTCTTGAGATAACTTAAAAAATTTGAGTTAAAGTATAACTAGAGAAGTGATAAATAAACATACCTTGTCAGTTGCACAACCGACCCAAAACTTAAGTCCCTTGTAGCCAAAAGGACCGTGCCTCATTAGCTTAACAATGTTTTTAGCAGACAAATACTTTTGGCAATCGTTATTGTCACCGAACTTAGTACACAAATAAGGAAATGTATCTTAGGCAAGGCGTCAAGGAAAACTTGATAGAGCTCATTGAGAATTTTTTCAGACCAAGCATTTTGAATGACATCCCTAGTATGTTTACAAACGGTCCTCAAATATTTTATCACCCCATATGTCTAAAGAAAAATAGTCTGAAATTTATATGATCGGTTTTCTCCATGACAAGGATAATATAGAACTTGTCGCAATGGCGGCTGACGGCCATCCCAATACTGAAAATGAGAAACAAACAGAATTCTAGCAACCCAAAAACCCATGTCTACGAGAGAAGAGGTATTATATAAACAAATATATTTGTTGAAAATAAATGGATTCCTCTTCTGTATTTCATAAACTTTATAAATAAAATGTGTCATCCTCACTTTATATTGAAAAAGAGTGAATGAGAATAGTTATAAAATACAATTCTCTTTACATAAGACAAAGTATGACCGTACCCACACCGTGAGTTAAAATCATAGGTGGATTGAAAAAAGAGGAGACAAGCTGGGGAATAAACTTCTAAATGAAATCGTTCCGTCGCTTCATATACTATATTTCTAAAGTGTTAAACATCAGCTACTATACCATCTATGGGGTCATGTATCGGATTTAGAGGAGGGTTGTTAACAAACTCTACCTTCTAAGTTGCCTTGACCCAAAGTATGTACGATAAATCCTTAAATTGTTCAACAGATTACTATTGACACTGTTTCTTTGGTGAATATCATTCAGATAATCAATTATTTGATTAAGCAGTTCAACAAGTGATCTACTTAGTCTGAGAACTTTGTCCTCATAGAACTCCCATATTTCTTCAGGTGTCTGAATGTGATTAGTAAACCAGTCATCAAACATCTGTACAGAAGAAAAAAATTAAAAGAAAAAAGAAAATAAAATCTCAAAAAGCAAACTTTAAAATTAATAGTGTGAAACAAAAATAAGTTGAATTCTTACTAGAGGGTTCTGTTCTTCCATAATGACTTGTTGATTGACGCCGCTGTCGTTGAACAAATGCTATGCTACTAGGATTTTGAGTGAGACGGTGACGTCGCGGTTTGGCAGCGACCGTGGCGATTAGACGTATAGAGGATGCTTTGATTTAACGCCTCACTATGTGGCACCATATATTCATTAAGGTGTTTTCATATATGATACATAAATAGAAACATGAATTATTACCCAAAAAAAGAAGGATATTACCTGAAAAATAAATAGAAACATGAATTATTACCTAAAAAAAAAAGATATTACCTAAAAACTAAATAGAAACATGAATCATTAGGTTTAAATAAGATAAATAGTAGCCATTAAATGAATAGAATGTAAAATTAAGTAGACAAAATAACGGTTTCTTTTGGTTTAATTTTAAATTTATGATTTAAGTGGAAAATTGTATTTTGAATTTTGAAAAGATAAATAAGTTTTGAAAAATTAAAAAAAGAAACTTATTTGGTTAAGAATTTTGAAAAAAATTATGTTTTGTGTTGTATTTTGAAATTTTTTGGGTTTATTTTTTTTAAATGATTAAAAATTTTCTTAATTTTAATTTTTTAGGGTAAATATTTTTTTATTTTGTTTTATGTGCGATATATTTATTATATTTGTGTATTTTTAAATATTTAGAATTGATCTTGACATAGTAAGAATGTGACTTTCATTACCCCGCATTAATTATGTGGACCGCATTTGCTCCAATTTCTCCAATTATTGTGATAATCGATCCTAAATAACGAAAATGTTCACTCTTAGGTAGTTCTTGATTCTCAATCTTTATTTCTCCTCTATTTCCATTGTGACTTATAAAGCACAGATACGGATACGAATACGGATACGGATACGGACACGACACGGAGACAAGCAAATTTTCAAAAAATGGAAAACACGACACGCTGGGAACATGTTCAATATATATAATTAATTTTATTTATTATGTGTCATAAAATTATAAAAAATAAATAAAAAATAAAAATCATTAAAAGGTAATAAAAAATACAAATAATATACACATTATTAAAATTACCAAAACTAATCAACAAAAAAAATTATATACTTAAATAATACAGGCACAGAAGGAAAAAAGAAAATATAAAATGAAATTAGAAAAAAAAAATTAGAAGAGAGAGAGAGAGAGTGACCAGTGACCATATAAAAGAAAAAATAAAATAAAAGTTGAACTCAAAAAAGGAGAGAGACAGAGAGTGACTACGAGAGAGAAGAGAGCAACTGAGATAGAGAGAGACGATCGGAGAAGAAGAAAATCGAAGAACGAAGAAGAAGAAGAATGAAAGAAGAGCAACGAAGGTCGTGAAAGAAGAGCAACGAAGGTGTATGACGACGAGCGACGGACGACCAGGTCTTCTCTCTCTCTTCTGTTCTTCTGTTCTCTCTTTCTCTTATGTTCGATTTAGGGCAGATATTGTTCTGTTTTTATTTTTTTACAAATCGACCCACAGAAGTTTCATAAATGATGAAATTGACCCTGAACGTGTCCCAAAAGTGTCCGAACGTGTCCGGTTGCAAAAAAAATTGGGACACTCTCTGTTGCGTGTCAGACACATGGCCACCGCGTGTCCGACACTAGTACGGAGCCCTCGAAGAGGAGTCAGTGCTTCATAGATTGTAACTGTTACTAAAATTACACTCCATATACTGTGTCTTAGTTTTACTTATTCCAAATCCTTTTAACAGGAAAAAGGCCTAAGGTAATAGCAAATGACATTGAAAGCAAGTGGATGGTCCTCCTTCAATATTATGTCCTGTGCAAAATTTAAGTAATGAAGCTGTCAGTAGATGAATAAAACTATATAATCCAGATGAAATCACACGCCTAGAAGCTACTTAATGAAAGTACTGACCTTCGGAGAATAAGTTGAGAGGAGCAACAACTGAGCAGACAACTCTAATTCCCCGTCTTCTGGACTAAAGAATTGTCCAATTGCCATGGAAGCAACAAGTGGAGGCCTTCCTGAAACAGTCTGAGAGCGCAAAAGTCATTATGTATACATTCTCAACTTAAACCTCTTTCAAAAGTAACTAAGAGATGTTTATCACATTCAACAAGAGCAGAAGTAACATTCAAAAGATACAACAGATACATAGTATATAAAATCTGTATGATCAACAGAGTATCACAATATAACATGCATACAGGATGAGAAAATGAGACTCCTCAAAACAAAGAAAGATTACCGCATAATGAGAATATTATCATACTAGAAAATAGAAATTCATTTAGCAACAGGGAAAAAAAGAAAAGAAAGAGAAAGAAACGACAACAACAACAACAACAACAACAACACAGCCACTCAAAGCAAAACTTGTGTATTTAAAAGGTTTAATTGAGGATTGACTCCAGGCGAGGCTAATGCAAACCGCATCAATACTTTGATTTTCAGGCAACACTCCAAAAAGATATTCAAACATAAGGAAGGGCATAATAAACAAGATATTCAAACATAAAACAAAAGGGGGCAAAGAAAAATTAGAAATGAAAACATCAGTGCATATCCAGTCTTTAGGAAACTGGCTCTAACACTATTAGTTTTTTGAATGGCAATTGCATTATTAAAGAGAAAGTCATGCTACAAACAATGTTTTTCAAATAATATGCATTGCCTTGATTTTTGAGATTGCTTTGGAAAATTAACTACGGTGAATTTATGCCAGAATTTTTCTGATATAAACAAAAACAAGCAGCCAAAAGGTTTCACGAAACCTTCTGATGCATATATACTTGTGGTACTATGAAATGGAGAACACACATGAGACAACAGACGAAATTAAAGAAACAATACCGGACTAGGTGCAACTGCGATGGTCAAGAATCTGAAACCATGCATATCCCCAGGAGCCAACAAAAATACAGCTGATGGAGGAGCTTGCTCAGTCTAACTACCTGGTTCAATCTAGAAAACAAAAACAAAAACAAAAAAATCAGCTACAATAGCATGTCAAACAAACCAACTTACTAAAATCTGCTACTCTAACCACACTCAGATAGCAATTCAGATTCACAACTTCACAAATCACTGTAAATTTCTCTTATTTGTCTTTTTTAATCAGTGTAAATTCATGTTATTTACATTGATAATCACTTCCACTGGAGCTGACACAAACAACAAGAAACTAACCTACGCAAGAATTAAGCACTCCCATAGAGGATTGGATATCATAAGTACAACATTTTGTACCTGCCTTGGTGCTGGTCCTGATGGAATGTGCACCATTTTTTGTGTCACTTCTAGAACCCTTTTACCAACAGGCAAGTCTGATGCTGATTTTCCTTTCTCAGGCCAAAGATGTAATCTAATCCCAGAACATGGGACAAGATTTGTAACAAGTACAAAGTGGCCTTTTCCATTGGACCCCTAATCATTCAAATCAAACTGTGAGCTGTATAATCCAGGCTTGGAAATTCATAAATAAAAGCAAAGTAGCAAATAAATAATGCACAACAAACCAACACCTAAAAGGATGCAAAAAGGAACCTGGACAGGTATAGTTTCAAAAACGTTGAACTATTATGAATTGTCATGAACATATTCCATTTCCAAAAAGATGAAATTTATCCTGAAGCTAAGTTCAAAATCTTGTAGATGTAAATTCAGTGAGCAAGTTCAACCCATACCGTTGTCTCAAACTTTGCCCGAAAGCTTGAGCCATGAAAAGAACAGGGAATACGATTAAAGAAGCTCTTAAAAACAGTTGAACATCTAACCCAAGAAAAAGATTAAAAATGAGTGAATTGAGTTTCTGTCATTTTAAACCACAAAAGAACAACTTTGACCAAGCTCACCAGTTTCTCCTACCTTCTACCATCCATCGCTAAAACAGTGACACTAGATGTCTGAATATATAGGTCCCTTTCAAGGCCATCATCAGTCCAACAAACATTACTGGGACAAGCAGCCAGCGTATGCCCTTGAGATCCTGCAAATATCACAACATAAATTGTTATCTTCTCTAAACTTTGTAGTTCCCAATATTTAAAAGGAAGGAGGAGGAGTAGAAAACAAACAGCTTCATGTCCACAAAAATAGAAATGACCCATAAAAAATTCCATAAAATTACAATGCAGTTGACATGTTAATATTAAGCTAGAACCAAGAGTTCTGCTATGACTCTTGACCTCCAAGCGATGGTTATATGTCACGACACAACAGATTTCACTTTCCGTTGGGATACGTTTATCATTTTATAAAAAATAAATTAAAATACAAGATTGTTCAAAGGATTTTCCAGTAAGCCCAAGGATTTTTTCCTTCATGATAGATAAAAAAGGAAGAATATTCCAACCAATCTATTTGATTTAACATTAAAAGTGACACCTCTGAACTCCTAATAACTTTTCTCCCACAATCAACTCACATCATTAGCATTCTGTGCAGAGATCCAGCATTTTCCTCCATTGGAGTCACCACAAAGAATGAACCTCTCTGAAGAATTTGGTCTAGTGCACTCTCGCCAAGCCCCACGAAACCAATCATCATCATCATGTGCCAAAGAGTTTTTGCCATGAAATCTTACTCTTCGGGTTGGATTCGCATCTAAACACTCATAGCCTTACTGAAATAAAAGTGCGAATAAAATTACAACTCAAAGGAGTTTTGTCAAACGGGATTGCCAATAAATAAAACCTAACACTTATTTTATTTTAAGTATGATAAAACAATTTCCAAATATTTGTACTAACATATCAAAGGTGACTATTTATCTGGTCATCAATTATTGGAATCATCATATGAGATAAATTAGAAATGAATATTCCAATAATTAAAGAGCCTGAAAAATCAACAGATTTGGGTCAAATTCAGGCAAGTAAAAATGGAAGATTGTTATTTCTCGTATATACATTAGTAGTTATGCCATAGTCAAAACCGCATAACAGAGTTTTTTCTGCTAAGCAAGAACTTAAAACCCAACATCAAATTCAATATATATGGTAAAGCAGGTTGCAAATTGATGCAACTTACTGAAAACGTTAAAATGAAAAGCATAACATAGACTACCATGCATAGTTAAGAAAAAAAAAAGCCAAAATTCCCCTAGGCTCCAAAATTCCAAACTTGCTGAACTATGAATTCCAAGACACCATCAAAAAAATGTCTTCAGCAAGCTTGCTGTTATCATGCAAAAGATAATTAAGCATACAACATAGAACAAGACATTAGCTTTGTTCTGCATCGAAAGATAGTGGAAAATGATGGTACCAGTAATTTTTTTTCCATCTTGAACGGGATCATGGGTTGCCTGTTGAGGTAATAGTGATTGTCTCAACCAATTAGAACTCAGTGGCATCCCACTATGAAGCATCTTTGTGAATGCTGCAAGTCTTTTTTGTGTATCACAAAATGGTTGACCTGCTTCAGGGTCCATCAGACTAAGGAAAGTGTGGAGCACCTGACATAAGAACATAAAACTCAGAATTGTCTATGATGGAATTTAAAATGGGTTCTAAAGGAATTCTACTCACCTGCACTACAAGTTGATTACACCACAAAATAACCTGGTGTTCCATTGACAACCACACATTTTTCATGGCTGTACTGCTAATAAAAAAACCATGGCTAGGAGGCACTATACCATCAAGAGATTCTAACTTTGTCCTCACCTAATATCAGGAAGCAAAAAAGATGGTATCACCCACCAAGTCAAATTAAATATGATACATCAATAAAGGGGAGAGGAAGTGCAAAGAGCATCACGGAACACTACCTTGATCCCAACTAGGTTGGCACCAAGAAGGGAACCATATCATATGCTAGCATCGAGAAGGGAACCCTCTCATAACTTTAGGCAACACTTTGACTACCACCTATGGTTATCCCACAACCAGCTACCACCTTCACCAACTCAACAAACATATTTATTTATTTAAAAATATTTATGTATATATCAAACAAGTATATGATTTTTATTTTTGGCACCTAATTTTTTTTTTTTTCAATTTTATAAATGACTATAACAAAATTATATGATACAATAATTCAAAAATAGTGGTTGCCGTGTTCTCTAGCCGAAATTCGAAAGGCATACTGACTGTGCATGATTTATTACTCCTTTCAACTGAATAAAATAAATACATGTAAACAAATTTTGGAAACTCACAAAATAAATAAATAAAACAGAAATACTAGTAAATTCACAAGATGGCAAAGGAATACAACATGTTAATAAGTCGATTGTCAACATTCCAACCTTATCCCAAATTTAAGTGTGAAACATTCACAGTAGATTATGAATCATCCAACAAACTAGATGTATAAATATGCTCTTACATAAATTAAGTGATATACTTTTCATCATAAACTTAGTATATATTATTCAACAAATTTGATATATACGATTGTGGTTCTAGTTCTATTACTTCTAAATGTGAGGTTCATTATTATTGATCATAATTGTACGTCAAATTTAAATTTGGTGTATTTTTAAATTAAAAATACACTAAAATCTTATAATATTATGTAAAATTTAATGTATAAAGAGAAATAGAGAGAGAATAAATTGTATGTATTATTGATTGATTTATATTGATATCTATTACAATGATTCATGATTCCTATATATAGAAGAGGGTGAGTGTATATACTTTTCATCATAAAATTGGTATGTATCATTCAACAAATTTGGTATATACAATGGCCTCGTTTGGGAAGTGGCTATTTTAGTAGGCTATTTGGCTATTTGGCTATTTTAGTGGCTATTTTAGTTTTTGTGTTTGGGAAGATGAGATGATTTTTTAGCTGAGTTATTGTATTGAAAAGTGTGTTGAAATGATGTTTAAATTTAAAATGACAAATTTATCCCTAAAAATATAATTTTTTAAATTGATATCAAGGGGTAAAATGGTAATTTAATTATTGATGGGACAAAGGTTGTAGCTGACAGTGTAGGCACAGCCTACACTGCCGGCTGTGCAGAATTTTTTTTTTTTTTTTTTTTGAAAAAGGTTGCAATAGTGTTGCTTTTGCTTAGTGGAGTAGGTTTAAGTGGGTGAAGTAGTGGGTTAGGTTTAGTGGAGTAGGTTTAAGTGGGTGATGTAGGTGGAGAGTAGGTGGATTTTTTTATTAATATTTATAAAGTTTATTCACATATATTTTAAGTGATATACTTTTCATCATAAAATTGGTATGTATCATTCAACAAATTTGGTATATACAATGTGTTTAATGTGATTTTATTACTTGTAAATGTAAGGCTCATTGTTATTAATCATAATGAGATTTTGTATAGAAATAAAGAAGTAATTATTAGTTGGTTTAGCATAACAGGTATAAAAAAAATAATAATAAAAAAAAAGGAATAATTATGAGTGAGAATAATTATGTATTCTTACTACTAGAATGATTAAGAAAGTAAACCATATGAAAAAAAAAAGAAACATGAATGAGAATTTTTTTTTTTTTATTTTAATAGACAATCTTAATATTATGAAAATTTTATAATCAATTAATTTGTTTATCAGCAAATCTCATCACTTTTGATGAGAAATAAAATAGACAAAATAAGATAAATTTTTATCATTTTTACTTGATTTATAAACTAAACCTTTTATCATTTCACATCAAATAACCCACAATAAATGAATAAATTGAGTACGCGCAAAGTATGATTCAGAATTGAATGAACAAATTTAATAATACACGTGAAGGAGAAGGATATGCATCTTTCACAATAAACACCATATGACGTCCAATGAATGAAATTGACAAGGAAGGAGTGTGAGTTGGGTGGGATAACCTTGGAGTTGGTGGGGTCGACCTCAAGTTAGATTTGCATTATGGGGTTGTTTGGGATGATCACCTATTAGAGATGATTCAAGAATAAAGTGATGAAAAGAAACTCCAATGAAGAGGGGACAAGAAGAAATAGATTGCAGCACATTGGGACTAAGGTTTGATGGGCATTACATATTAGAGATGATTCAAGTAAAAAACAAAACATTGAAAGCTATGCACTTCATTTTCTAATGCGGTCAAAAGTTCACCTAAGTAAGCCTTCGTTTGGGATGTGAGTTGACTTTTTAGTTTTTTGGCTTTTTAACGATTTTAGGCTGGGGTTAAAAAGTATCGTTTGGAATGAGCTTCTTGGCTTTTTTGACTTTTGTGAGAGAAAAAAAAAATGATTATGATTTAGATATGAAATTTTATACTTTTTGACCTATTTTGTCTTTATGTGACTAAAATAGCCAAAAAAATTCATGCCAAATATAACCTAAGAATTACAAGTTATTTTATTTATTCTTTCGTCATTTTATTGACTAGGCATAGGCATGGGTGAAGATTCTCATTTTATTAACTGAGTATAGGTATGGTTGAAGTTTTTTTTATTAATTTTAAAATAATGCAATAGTGAAAGTTTTAAGATATGAAAATTTCAAATTATAATTCAATAAATTTATATATGTGATTGAGTTGTGAGTCTATTGCTTTAAAATAACGAATCAAGTCGGACCTATTTTAATTACAAAAACTTGACTATCATATTATTATGATTATGATGAAAAATTAAAATATATATATATATATATTCATAAAGCATTCTACTAATCATAATTTAGTGAAAAAATAGCAAGGAAAATAAATTGTTACTTTGACGAATGCTAATCAATGATCTTCAAAAAAAATAAATGCAATCTCAACGAAATGGACATGTAAACCATAGAAATGAATTGTATAGTTTCAACTCCATGGAACATTCGTTCGACACTTCAATCGCAAATACATGGCTTTCATTGTTTTGTTTTAACCGAGTAATCAATGATCTATGCAATCTCAACGAATTGGACATTTGTTTTTTTAAACACTTCAATCGAATGGAAAGCTGTTGGATGGCCTCACAAAAAAAAAAATATTTGCATCTTATTCTCCTTCCAAGGTGAGGCCTTAGCTTGCCAATGGGCTTGTCTTCTAGCTCAAAATTGCAATCTTTCAGATGTGGTGATTGAAGGGGATAGCAAGTCCATGATTCAGCTAAGTGTCTCTAAAACTATTCCCCCGTGGGAATGTGGAGCAATTATCTATGATATCAAGCGAATGGTAGCCTACGAGAGGTTCTCTCTTCCGTTCAAAGTGCCAGACAAAAATTATTGTCGCAAGCAGAAAGAGAAGCAAAACAAAATTGAATTTTTATGGGTTGCAATGCATGCCATAAAAACTCTTTCATGACATGCACACAAATGCTGTTATATGACATGCCGTGGAAAATTGAGCGTCATTTTGCAGCATGCAGATAAAGTTGTAAAAGAAATAAATTAAATATTAATGACATACTTTATATGTCGTATATAAATTTTTACGACATTTATGTCATGCCATAAATCATCATACTTTCCATGGCATAATTTTGCATGTCGTAGAAAGTTATTTTTAATATATTTATTGCATACAAAGTATGCCGTATATAATATTTTATGGCATTTTCTTGCATGCCATAAATTATCACACTTTTCACGACATAATTTTGTATGCCATAAAATATCATTTTTAATATATTTATGGCATACTTTATATGCCATATATAATCTTTTACGGCATTTTCTTACATGTCATAAATCATTACACTTTTCATGACATAATTTTATGTCATAGAAGGTTATTTTTAATATTATATATATATATATATACAGGAATATAACATTGCCTAACAGTATGTAGACGGTAGCTTATAAAATGCAACCTGTTAACAAACCAAGCAAAAGCAGCAACTATGAAGTACGCAAAAAAAATCTAATATCCATACACCAAACAACCTGCATACTAAGGGATGGTTTGAGATGATATAAATAAGTGCACTTTTTAACTTTTTATGAAATATGGGTTGGATTTGAAGTGATGTGTTAGAAAGGTGATGTGACTTAAATAAGATGATGTGACTTAAATAGGATAGTGACTTTTTGACATTTTAACTTTTTTAGATCATGCCAAACAAGGCCTAACTTTCATCCTCAACTTCTATCATATCAAGCTAATAACAGATCTTTCAAACTCAAACAATTTGGAATTTGTTTTCCAAACCCATGTTTTGAAATATGATTTCACTAAAGTTTTGTTCTCAAACTATGACTTCAATCATAACAATTGAGACTTCTAAAAAGAGCATAACTTACTGTATCTAAACTAGTTAGAAGGTTTGCAATTGAAAAACCAGCACGTTTAGATATTTTTATAGCTTCAATGCTTTCAGTAACAAACCAACTTCATTCACCTAAAAAACCATAAAAACACTTCATTAAGCATATAGCTACCACAGAATTCCAACAATTAAAGACATGAGGAGTAGATAAAAATGCTTTGAAAATACTATTTTCACTCACCGAAGTTGGAAGGTTGTCATGAGGAGTAGATTGGAGTAGATCGAAACTTCTTTGGGAGGGATTGGTACCCTACACTCAAAGACAAACATGCAAGTGATTTAAATACAAAACAACAAATGATTTGAATCAAAACTTACTGGAATTAAATCATCAAACATTATATTATCATGTTTAGCATTTCCTCTTACATCATTTTGCCTTCTTTCTTTGATAAGCATGGCTCTTATCTCATCGAGTTGTTGTTCTAAGTCCAGCGCCTTGCCTTTAAGTTTTCTCACGTGCTCATTTTGGTGTACTTGTGCATCAAACTTAGATGGTAATGCCCCAAATCCCAGTCCTCGTACACTCCCACGACGCACGACGCTCGAGACCAAAAGTATGAAAAATCGCATCATCTTTTATAGATTTTGGACCCTCATCAGTAGAAGAGTTGTGAAGTTCTTGAACCTTTTTCTGAAAATATAAAGCATGTCTTAATAAATTGATGTGAATGCAAATTATAATACCAAAAAAAAAAATAAAGAAATAATGTGGACGACAAATGGTTATAAGTTCAATTTTATGTCTCAGCAATAAAGTACCTCTCCACTCATCTTGCTAGTTGACAACTCCACCTACTAATTCCTTGAAAAAAACACAACCAGCAGCATGTCCTGCAAAAATCATCACAATAAATTCAATAATAACACTATAAAACATCACAGCCACTGCACATTAACTAAACACCTTATAAACATCCTCACAAAAGAATAAGCAAGAGAATGCACTGTAATTTGCAAATTATTTAGAAGTTCAAAGAAAAAAAAATTGTTTCAATTACTGCTTTAAAAAGCCAAGTAAAGCTGGTGTCATCTATCCCATCTCAGAAGCATGTTCTTTCTATAATAACGCGTTCTTGATGGGATTCTACAGTCTCACCAATTCTCCATGATTTTTATCACAAAATAAAATATGTGCATATACATTTAAATGCCTTCCACAACATATAATTCCTGCAAGACGCACATTGTTATTTTGAGGAATCAAAAGCAAAAGCAAAAAACAAAATTGGCCCAACAAAGAAAATTTGTGATAGCAGTGTTGCAGTAATTTAGAATGTAAAACTATATTCCACTGTATACAGATGAAAGGTGCTATATGTAATGATAGTTTATATTAATTTTGTGAAGAAAAAAAATAAAGGCAACAGATTCATCTGGTTTGGTGAGCACACAATTTAAAAATTACACTGTTATTTCACAATTTTCAACCAGAAACATGACCCACATACTAAAAACCTCAGTGTATGACCTGACAAACACCAACAATTTTTTCCTCTTTCCCCAGAAATCAAGGTTAAGTGGCCAAACCAGGTACCACTTGGCATACACTGGCAGTGGTATAAGGTAGACAAAATGGAAGCTTTGAACTTCCAAGTTTTGTTGAAATTTTTTAACCTTATTCCAATGATATCCTTTAACTAAAGAATGCAAGACAACAGGACACCTTTCATCTCAGAAATTTGCTAAAAACAGAAAAGGCAAAGCATTTATACTGCTTCCTTTTACGCCTCAGAAAAAAAATTTGAAGCATAATATTGCCTTGACAATTCCAATGTGAAAAAGATGACAAACATGTTCCTAATAATTTCCAATAGGGCACATATACAGATAAACGTAAACCCAATCAAATAGCTCTATAATAATTCCTGTATTCCTGTATAAAAATGTCAAATAGTCCCATACAACCAAGCTGTCTTCAAGAAAGTACCAGCCATAGACTATAATTCAAACTCTGCCAATGGGCTTCCTTTCTCATTTGAGATTCAGGTGCAGATTTTTCTTTTTAATTTTATTTTTGAAACAAAAAAGAAAACACAGATGGCTGTGGAAACTTCTTCAAAAATAGAATTATCAAGATCCAATAAAGCTTTATAGAACTTTATTAACTAATTTAAGTTATGCACTCAAGAAGTGGGTAATTGCCCTGTTACTTGTCAAATTTTGTCCTCCTCTTTTGTTTGCATAAAATTTCTAATTTAAAGCTCAAAAGGAAAAAAAATTAAAAAGAGAAACCTCCTGGCTATGAATCAGGTGGAGCATCCTCATGGTGGTGGTAACCACCAACACATTGGCCATGTCATTACGGTTCTCCGTGATGCCCCTCCTGACTATAAGCTTTGTAAGGAGGAGGTTTCGGGGTCAAACTACTACTACTGCTACAAAAGCTGATAAGAGTACTTAAGGTTTGTTTGAGAATTTGTTTTTTTATGGTTATTTGACTTTTATGAAAAGACATACAAAAAAGTAAAAAAAAAAATAGGTTGACTTTTTACGGTGGCTTTTTGACTAATTTAGCCACTTCCCAAACAAAGCCTTAGATGGTGTTACTATACAAAGTTCTTTAGGGTTATGGTTTGAGGTTTTCGATAACTTGTGCTATACTATTTTTTTTATTTTTTTATTTTTTTATTTGGAATCAGCCACTTGGGATTTTAAAATTATGATTAATGTTTGTTGTTGGTGGAATATAGGCACATTTCAGGTTATTTCTTGCTATTGGAATGGAGTTACTCATGTTTGATAACCTGTTGGCTGCTTAAATAACCAGTTTAGACTAACTTCACTGGGCATTACCAAAATGAAATAAAGTTATAACTTCACTGGGCATATTTAGATTATTTATTTATTGTTTGTTTGTTCTCTCATTTACGTTTGGTATGATGAAATGGAATGAGAGTGAAAATGAAATATAAAGTTAAATAGAATGAATGCTCATTCCAATTCACTGTTAGGATGCTAACATGAGCGTTAATTATAAAGGTGGTAATAGCCAATAGAGGACAAACTAAGAAGTCGTTAATTCAAAGGATGGCCCTAAATCAAGGCTCTGTATACATTCTCTGAATTTTGCTTGTGCTGAGTTCTCAACGAAAGTTTGGAAAAATTGATTCAAAGTAATATGTAGCTAACAGTAACACAAATTGAAATCATATAACAAAAGATGAGCATACACACAAAAATTCACACTACACTACAATAACAAATAAGAAGCAACCAAGCAAAATCAAGATAAACAGACCTAGAAATGGAATGGAGAATGCACAGAAATTCAAAAAAATAATAAAATAATAATCGCTATCTTATCAGTGAATCAATGAATTTCAATTTGTGAATCAATGAAATAAAAAATAAAAATAAAATAAAAAATGCAATCCTAGACCTTATCAGTGAATCAATGCAGAAACAAATCAACAAAACACAATAATTTCAGACATATCTAAGGGTTTCGATTTCCTCCATACCAATGTTCGATCAAATATGAAATTGCTATCTCATTTCTCTCTCTAGAAGTACGAATTAGTTACCTGGTGAATGAGAGAGGAGAGATCGGAATGGACGAGAAGCAGGCGATCGATGGCGTCGTTTTCCATTGATCTTCGTTCACAGGTTCACAGACGCCGATGGAGAGAAAGGAAAGAGATAAAGAGAGATCCAATCGGGGTTCTTTCTCAACAGAGGAAATTGATTACTAGAGAGAGAAACTTATTACATATCACCATATCAAACCAAATTACCCCGGGTTCGATTGATGTATTAACAGTGTGAAGTATAATGAGCAAAAACTATATTAATAAAAAAAATAATTGACCAGTAACGTTTTGCAGACTTGTAACTCATAAAAATGTTGTTGGGTTGGTTTGGCAAGTGGCTGTTTTTGTTAAAAATTTAAAAAGTTAAAAAGTCAACAATTTATATTAAAAAGTTAAAGGTTTGATTGTGAATTCAAATCAATTTTCAACACGTGAGCTCGCGCATGACGCTTGGATACGATGTTTAAAAGTTGATTCCGCGTGTTAATTCAAATTACAATTTGAAAATTCGTTTGGCATCTCATAGTTCAGTTCTCCGCTTTCAACGTGTATGTCTTCTTCCTCTTTTCCTCTTAATCTGGTAAATAAATTCTTCATCTATTATGTGCAAATGATTTCGGACGAGTCAAAATCAGTTCTCATATCTTTTGCGAGAAGTGTAGCCGACTATTTTTTTTGTTTCAGATGTTTTCCGATTTTCCCGAACTGTTTCAACCTTTTCCCTACTAATCTGGTAAATCAATCTTCATCTGTTATGTATAAATGATTTCAGAGAAGTTGAAATCAATTCCCAAATGATTTCTGAGAATTTGTAGATGAGTTTTTTTCATTTCAGATCTGTTGGTATTTTAAACTCCGAACCGTTCGAACCTTTGCACGAAGAGAACCTGAGGCGCAGTACCTGGGACACCCGGCCGGTCGTCCCCCGGGTCATCCGACCGGTCATCCCCCAGGTCATCCCACCGGTCATCCCTTCCTGCCAACTTCTCTACTTTGTACTGTTTGATATTATGCACGAAGAGAACTGTTTGAACCTTTATTTTAAAATGGAAAAATTATTTGGAAAAAACAATTATTCAAAAAAATTACTAAAAAAAATTAATTGACAAAAAAAATTAATTTTTAATTTCAGTATTTTAAAAATAGTTTGGTTATTATTGTTGATAAAAAAATATGGATATCGATATATGAGTTTGTGTGTTTGATGATAAATTATTGGTTAAATTAAGTTTTGAAAACTATTTTCAAAACACATCACCAAACAAATTTTCACCTTTCACATGTCACATCAAACTTTCAAAACTTAATTCAAAATAAATCTTCAAAACACAATTCAACACTCTATTTAAAAACCATAACCAAACAAATTTTCTACACTCAAATCATAATTCTGCAACCCACAAACTCAAAATACAACTCATACTCTCAAATCACATTTACAAAACACAACCAAACGCAGGCAAAGATTTTCTTTTTTTTTTACTTTTTACATATCTTTTCGTAAAAAATTAAAAAGTCATTCTAAACATACTAATTTTTTTTTTACATCATATTTTAATCAAAAAGTCAAAAAAATATTAAAAAAGTCTGTTCCCAAACGAGACCTAAGTGGTTCCTTAAATTATTTATAGGTAGCTGACCCATAAATCCCATAATGTGGAATTAGAAACTGATCAATCTCATATTATAATTTGAATACACAGAGGTGTAGACGTCCCCGAACGCCCCGGGAGGGTATCCCCCCCCCCCTATTTTGTTCATTGGGCTCACTATAGTTCAGGACTCTCAAATTGTCTCGGTTCTTAATCTGAACCAAAGAGTCCAAATCCGGCAAATCGTTTTGAGAAACAGATTTTTGAAAAGAAGTGCCAAACATGGACTGCTTTGCCAAATACAGAGTCGCCACCTAAATATGAATTTAGGAAACCCTGACTCGGTCCAAAGGCCACGTGTCCGTCATCACCAAAGTTGCCTCGGCTCGAGAACTTATCGAGAGCTTGGGTACGATTGGGGAAGGTCAGCTATGAGCACCCCCTCTCGCCCGATCCGAAGATCGGCCTCTACTAACCATGATATCTTGTTTTGAAAGCATCATGTGTTCTTATTCCGGTTATTAGCGTAGAATTACTATGTTATGCGCACAGCAAACAAGTATAGACTAGATCGCCTAATTTGGAACAAAGCATTGCATATCTGCTCATTTGAAAGACAATTTGAAATTTGCTACTCGCAAGTAGGCTAAAACACGGATTTCAACGAGTTGTTCCAACTCAAACAATCCAACCTTCACCCACAGGCATTCACGCGGTTTATATCACATAAGCATCTAGCCACATGGTAAGTATGCTGTCATGTTGACACTCACACTCATATGAGATACTAAAGCATATAAATACTTACAATGTATTCCGAGCCAAGACAAGAACATGTTAGCAATCAATGCATGATCCAAGTCCATGTTAAGTGGCTAATGCAACGCATACAGAATGCAATCTAGAATAGGCTCGGCTAATCTAAGGATGACATGTGAAAATGCACAGATAGCATGTATTCAAGTTAGATTTGAAATACTTATGCAGTTAGTATGATGCGCCGAGCCTGATGCATGCAAGACTAATGAATGATGCACGCATGCATAGCATAAGGTATGCTAAAGTAAACATGTCCTAATACTAACCATCAAAAGCAGGTAAGTAAAAGGGAGAAAGAAGTTGGGGTTGGAAGACATGCACACACGCACCCACACTTATTACAAATAATGAAAGTAGTAGACAGCCTCGGGAAGAGGGCCTAATACATGTGCGCTCGGATCCGCTCGGAAGTCCACTGCCATGCACAAGTTTGCCTCTGTTTTCCCTGCTCTGCTCCTCTGAAAATTGCACAATTCTCAAGGAACACTCTATGAACCCTGTGGAGCACCACCGACTAAGTAGAAACACCACCGACCATGTTCGGAGGGTCATCGACCATTGGTTAAGCTCTCGGCCAAATATATTTGGTCGATCGGCACTCCATTCAGTCGACTGGCCAAATTTTCCTGCATAACCTGTTTTGACAGCAGCAGAGGGCAAAACAAGGCATGGCAATGCATTTCAAGCAGATGTGTGCACCACTACACCCCTTATCATGTTTATGACTCAAAGGGACATGGTTCTCGATTCTCGGACTATCAATCGCGCATTTCAATGCGTGATGGCCCAAGAAACCAAGTTGTGCATTTTCAATGTGGAGTGAAATGCACATAAACAAACAATGGGGCTCAACCTCCATCACAATCAATTCAAGAGGTTAAGCATGCATGCCAATGTGATGCAACCTAGGCATGTGAGCTAGCATACAATCATGGAAATGCAAAGAAGCATACAAGGCATATAACAATCATGCAAGGCATGAAGCAATGCAACCAACAAGTATGCAAGACACAATATGGATGTTCAACCACGCAAGCAAGCATGTGACTTCATTCAATCATGCAACAACACACTAGTATGCAACAACACACAAGGTGAGCATGCAACAACATGCAAAGGGGTGGACTTAAACTAATTTAGGCAGCCCTCAAACAAACCTAAAACAGTAGCCAATGCTATGGAAATGAGGGCCTACACACACACACACACATGTACATGTTGATGGGCCAACACTTAAGCATCAAACAAGCAACCTTTAAGCACACTTAAAAGAGCCTAAACATGGGCAATTAGCATGCAATGTAAACTCTGAAAATCATGTTAATGATGGTGCCAAACCAATTTAAACAAGACAAACAGGGCATGCAATTGGTCCAAGTACTTGAGGCAAGCCAAGAAGACTTAAACCATGGCTAAGTCAACCAAGCCTCGCAAGGCCAAGAGGACTTAAAACAGGTCCAAGGCAGACCTAAACAATACTAAGGGTGCACCTAGATGGCATCTAAGTGGCCTAAACATGCAAGTGTACACAAGGGCCTAAGCAAGGGGCATAAGACAACAACCTTATAAAGCATTAAAGGGGCATCAAATGCGAGCATACAAGCATGCTATGAGGACTGAAATGATGCTCGAAATGGTGCCAAACCACTGGAACAAGGCAAGTAAAGCATGCCACATACTCACATACCTAAGGCTAACAAGCCAAAATGCAAAGAGGCTATGCAATGCATGTCATAGTCGACCAAAACAACCAAAAACAGAACTTAAGCATGCTAAAACAAACACAAAAGCTTCACAAAGCTTGGCCAAAATCATGCTTGAACAAGGATCAAAACCTAAAGCATGTTAAGACCTAAAGATGGCATTACAAGACATGTGTGCAAAGCATGCAAGGTGTGTCTAAACCAACTTAACACAATGCTATATCATGGTAATATAAACACAAAAATCAGTTAAGGCATGGTCAACATGAACCTAAACTAGATGCTCCCTCAAGAGGCAAAAATGGCCCTTTTCAAGGACAACAAGGAGAGGGGGTGGCCTTCTCCTTTTTAGGGCCTCAAGGAACCATCCTCACCACTGAAATCCCTCAAGATTTTAGTGGTGAGGAGGCCCAAACACAATGGTCCCAGAGCTCACCAAAAATGTACAAAAATGGAGTCTAACAAGGCTTAAGAGGGGTCAAACAACCTCAAAGCTCAAAACACTCTTAAACAACAATTTAGAGTAGACAAAAACAAGACTTTTATATGTTATACACCAAGTCTAAAAATAGTTTCAAGGTAGTCAAAAAAACTATACAAAAATGGGGTAAAAAAAGCAAGAATGTTACCCTTGAAGACCCTCTTCACAAATGGTGGACCAGCTACTTCTTTGAGCTCAAAACCACCCAAGAACACCAAGAACAGACCTCTGGCCCCTCAGCAACCAAGAAAAGGTGTAAGACTAGGTGTTTGTGTGCAATAGTAAGACTAAAACACACACAAGGCAAAGAAAGAGAGAGATATAGAGATAGAATGGATACAAACCCTAACCCTAATATCAGAGGTCTCTCTGGAAAATGTTGTCTAACCTAGAGGAGGGAGGAGAGGTCTCCTCTTGTAGAAGATTCAACCTTGTAAAGCTTCCAAGGCAAGCTAACAAGGTTGAAATCCCTCTATGCACGTGTATGGAGAAGAGCAAAGGTGGGTGCCAGCTATCACAGCTGGCACAAAAATATCTGCAAAAGCAGATGAACAGTGGTCGGCCAGCCAAAAATGCAATTTGGCCAAAATAGATGGCCGGTCGACCATCTATAGTGCCGGCCGGCCAAAGATTTGGCCGGTGGAAACAAA